GAGGTGGCACCTATCCACTGTTCGGTCGCAACAATAGTCATTGCAAATATCGCAAGTACGCGCAAAATACGACCGACTGATAAGTAAAAGTAATGTCATCGTAACGACGTTTAAAACAGTGCACATTCAGTGCAGGACTCGACTTACCCAGGGTGATGGGCAGCTCCCGCCATCTAGTCTTTTTGCCCTTCTTGCCCATTATCACCGGCGACGACTACGGCACGTGTGGATGACCGGCACAGTATCGCTCTTCTGCCCGCGGTCGGTTGATCGCTCGCCGTCAGTGGCGTGTCCGCGACCACAGTTTCCCGGCACGACACTACACTGCAGGTATTGCAGGTAATACCTGCAGTATTACACGTAATGTGGTATTACCGTGTGGTCCGTCTCTCGAGTGTAGCTCGGTATGTTGTGGTGTCCGATCGGGCGTAGCCGTTAGTCGGATGGCAGTCTCAACGCATTGCGCTCGCAGTGAGACGTAGCGAATTGTCGTGGTTGTGACTACTGTCACTCGTCGTAGCTGTTGTGTTGTTATTGTTTATTATACGTCTGTTTGGTGGCGATCGAGACGGGCGGCGCGACGCACACGGACGGAACCGCGGTATAGACGACGCACAGCTGTATCGGTGGCGGTTGCGGCGGCGGCGGCGGCGGTGATGCGCGAGCGAGTGAGACAGGCTGAGACGGTGTGCGCGCGCGACGACCGGTGCGACTGGCAATCGAGCGGCTCCGAACGGAGAATCGGACGCGATTATCAACGGGAAGAACGCCACTGCTGCCGCTGCCAGCGCAGTCGCTGCCATCGTTGTCGACGCCACCACCGCCGCCGGTCTCGGTAGTCGACATGGGCGCGACGGAGGGGGGAGGGTGCTCCGGCGGGGGCGGGCGACACGCCACACGGCGCAAACTCGTTGCGTGCGGGTCGTCGTCGCGGATAGCCCTGCCGAATAATGGTTTTTGTTTCCTTCTTTCGGAGGCGACCCGTCGCCGAAACGATCTACTTGCGAGACCAAAGAATATTCGTCGTTTCACCACTATGGTACCATTCCCATCATCCCACCATCCCCACCACCCTAAGTAACTTAAAAGCCACCATCTCCAACTACACGACGATTAACGTTTAAAGGGGAAGATTTTTTTATTTGACTAGTGTTGTTGTTGTTGTTGTTGTCGTCGAGGTTCTGTGTATATACATATCATTAGCCCCACTGTCGTTACATGTGACGGATATCACTAAATCTGGCAAACGTAAATTGTACTTAACGAAACGAAAAAATTGTAAATCGCGCCCGGTATATTTTTCAGGAATACATTTCTGAGTAGTCGATTGCGCCCAATAGAAATATCATTTTTTTTTTTTTATGTAAATATACTAATAGATAATGTACTGTTACATCCAATGGCCATAGACGCCGCGGATAGTTGTTTAATAAAAAACAAAAAAATATCATTTTTATGTTAGCCATTTAGCATGACCCAGAGGATACCACGAGGAGGTGACTATCACTGTTTTCCAAAAATGTTTGTTTTTTTTTTGGTTTGCTTGATTAGTTATTAAAACTAGAAAAATTAATTTTTTTTTTAAATATTATAATATTAATTATAGTTGTTTTTATATATATTATTTTAGGTTAAAAATGTTAATAATAAAAAATACAGTTATAATAGTTATCTGCATAGTAATGAGATATCATCTTCACATATTCAGCCCTCGTAATACTGTTTTCATAATGTTGTCGAATTCATTTTTTCCATTTTTTCAATTTTTTTTTTCCGATTTGGTGTTTTAAAGTTTATAGTGATAAGCGTTCGAATTATCCACCAATAAATGAATAACAGTATTTTTAAAACACACATAATAGGTAATGACAAATTCAAGGCTAATTAGATATTATGGGTGCAATTTACTATACCCATTTTAAACCCCGAAAATCCTGGACAAAATGTATACCTATTTTAGAAACCGACAAATCCCGGGCGCAATCTGCTATAGTATTTTTACTATACCTTCCAAATATGGCCGCAATTTACAAGCGCCCACTAAGTCTGTCCTTATACAGACCAAACGAAGACATACAACACACAAGCCTAAATCGTTTCGTATTGTTTTGTAAATGGATGTAAACTTTTGATTTGGTATCTATAAAAACACATATTGTGTAGAATGATTCACTAATAATCGTGCTCACCACCATCTTTTTTTCAATAATAAATTTAACGTAAATGGTGCGGTGATTTATTACATTAAAAACAAAATAAAACATAAAAAAATAAAAATATAATTTAACCAAATTGAAAGTGCCATCATTGGGTGGCTTCTTTCCTCAAATTTTGTAATTTATGTTTCCTATCTTAACGCACATAATCTTTATTGGGCAAATGTAAACTCCCCTAAAAAGTGAAATAGTAAACTAATATAGTAAATTCCTCTAAAATAATTTTGCTACTGTATTACACTTACGTAAATGTTTTGTGATATAGATTGTATATTTTCTTCTAAAAAAAATAATAATAATAAAATGTATTTAAATTCTAATTTTTTAAATTTTTTAAATTTATTTATTATATTTTTATTTTATTCTTCAAGAAGATAGGAAGAATTTAATCTTAGGAAGAAGATAAAGGACCATGTACTTGAAGACCATATTTAAAATCCATGATATCTATCGTACTACTTACAGAGAATCCTGTAGAGGTACAAAGTCAGTTTTTTGTAATAAGAGAATATCCCATTTTGAATTAAAATTATTTAACAGCGGTTAATGATTTTCATTATTGTTTTGGAAATGTTGATGTATCTGGTTCTAAATTTGTATGAGAATTTTCTCAGTTATTAAAATGGCTATAATATCGATAATAGTCTTTAAGAATGGTTTTATAAAAAATAAATATGAAATATATTATATAATATTAAATCCAATACCTATTTGCTATACTTGGATCGTTGTTTTAAGTTATAATTGTTAATAGATTAAAATTGATATATTTTATATATAATTTGATATATCTTCTAATTCCATTATCGCTAGACCTTAGTTCACAATATTAAACAACTCAAAAAGTAAAAAAATACTCGTTTGAATTTTGATTTTTATACCTATACGTATGTCATAATAACTGCATAATTGAAAAAGAAAAAAGGTGAGCATACTTGGTGAATCACTCTGTATATATTGATGAATATTATTCTACTCGTGAGTCGTAAGCTGTAATTAATATGCAACACGATGTCATTATAACCGAACCGACAGAGCACAATGCATATTTTATAGGCTCATAATAAGCGAATAACTGGATTATTGTATATATTTTGTTGATATGATACATTATCATGTCATCATTGCTCTCAATGTATATAATTTTCAATAAAGTAACTAATGGTAATAGTGGTTAAAATCTATTTATTAAATAATTACTATTATCATAAATTTACCCAATTCGGTGCATGAGTGCCCGATTTTCTATGTTTTTTGAACCACTAATTAATATCATATACATACCTTTGAGTTTGTACTACTACCGCAACACATAAAATAAAATTAAAATACTTTTACATATTGAAAATGTTGATGTACTTTACATTAAAATGGTATATTGCACTATTATTGCAGAGGATTTGCTGTGATTGGGGAGGGGTAAATATACGAAATGTTGGCTTATAAAAAAAAGCAAAAAAAATACATTTTACCTGAATTCGCCGTAGTGTGCTGGTGTTTCTTTAATGTTAGGTATAAGTTAAGACAATATGCGTGGTGAATTGGCATAAATAGTTATTTTTATAATATTGTAGTTATTGCACAACGTCAAAATGCCATTGTTTCAATTTCAAACATGATTGAATTTCATTCATTCAATATTTTTTTTTTGTAAATCACATTCCGAAAAGTGGCTGTGGGTTCGGTAAAATATAGATCTCCAAATACTTGATATGATTATTTGTTTAATGATATCAATTATCATTGGGAGACCGCTATAGTATTGTTCAATATATTTATTATACAATTAAATAGTTCCCAAATTCGAGTAATGCGATAGTAATGTTTCTACAATAACGATGTCTATCTCAACGTTGTACAACGCTTTAAATGTAATATAATATAATGACATACCTAATAGTGCAGAGTACCAATGATCCGTTTAATGTAAGACACTTATAATTTCGTTAGTACACATTTTAAATTCTTGAAGGGATTCAAGTTATAACTAGTTACTTGTAAGTACTAATAACTATTTGTCCAAAATCTGATAATTGTAGATCAATATACTCAGAATAATATTTTGCTTAAAATATGAAATTAAAAATGTAATTACTATACTGTTTTTCAAAAAAATAAAAACTTATACAATCATAAGGATAAAAGGATATAATATGTTGTTTTCTAAAATGATGAGTGTGTCTCAGTTAAATTGTTCACCCCAATACCCCATTATATGGCTGCTACAACATTTATCATTGTTACCGTATTAAATTGAAAAAATTGATTGACGTTTTCAGTAAAAATATTTTAACGCATATTATAATAGGTACATTTCTTTATGCCTATAAATTATTTAATTATTCATACCTATTTTATAATATATGAATTAAAATAATACAATACTTCGAAGATTATATGCTCATATATGTATATATTTCACGACAGTTTAAAGTGTTTTTACGCTTTTACTAGATTTTCATCAGTATAGGTACAAGGTACACGTAGTTACTCACAAAATGTCAGTTTTCAAGGATATTTACCGCTTTTCCCGCACTAGGCRCTAGCGCAATTTATAATATTATTGCACCACATGACGTCGCTGTGAATTGCGTAGGAGCTGCTCCGCATTCACTTTTGTTTCGTACATAATATAAAAGATGAAAAATTCAATATTATAGTATGAACAATAATAATTTCTTTTTTAGTTTTAAATGTTATAATATTAAAACATTTTTTTGTTTAACTTACAACTCGTTTTTTTATTTTTATTCAAGAATAATATCGAATTAACTTTTTTCCACCCATACCTACCTACAACAACATGTTTATAATTTATATACCTATCGGAGCGTTTAAAAGGCTTAGTAAAATAAGATAAATAATAGATTCTTAAACTTTAATGAATTAGTAATAGATAAATATATTGCTTTTAACTACCTATATATTATAATATTATAATTATATTTAACAAAATTTACTTCCGCCTGTATCTTACAGCAACAGTTTTTACGTCTAAATGAAACTCTTAAAACTTATATTTGACAAATTAGATTTTTATATATTATACTTGTATTTGTTTGTTTTCTTAAGTGCTGTGACTTTTACTGTTACAATGTTACTTTATACAAAAACTATTGGCTATGCGTCGTGTGTAATTGGATTTTCCACGCCAAAAGTGACACATATGTCATTCGTATACTTAATACTGTATAGTAAATAGAAATAAATAGTGTTCAGTAACATAATATGAAAAATTATCTCTAAGCATAAAGCTGATTATTATTTTAAATTATATGAAAAGCCTTTTATATAAATGTTTTGTTGGTTAAAGTGCTAACTCTGGAATATTATTTATCAGATAAAATGTGTGTGTCGATTTGCAATAGTTTAATATTACATTATTATCATCGATTTTGGAATATATTATTTTATACATTCTAAAATCAATGATATTAATTATAAGTATGATAGCTTATAAATAATAGTACAATAATTTTTTTTTTTTTGGAAATGAATTACATCAAGATTATATTATATTATATTATTATATAATAATAATATAATTTATAATACTG